GATGAAAGTAAGAGGAATGCCACTTTGCCTGACCTCGTTTAAGAACAAGGACACACATTCTTTCAGAGTTTGAAACTCTGAAGACTCACGCTTTAATCTTTCAAACTCCCATCTTCCCAGGGCACCCTCAGCTTTCATCAGTGCTTTTCTCATAGTCATGCCTCTTATAGTTTTATAATTTTTTTAAAGGCAACACTAGATGAGTTTAAAGCCCTGGTATCCATTTTCTATTAAATAAAGTGTCAAAACTTCTGATGCTGAACTGTAGAGTCACCACCATGCCAACAGTTTTAATTTTAAACCCATTTCCCCCATTTTGATGATATTAGAACTTCACCCATGGCACTACTACCTTATAACTTTCATTTTTAATTAAAGAAGTTAAATTGGCAACAGAAAACACTTTGCTTTCACATTAGCTTTGTTAATAAAAAGTGAAAGTTTAAAGCAGTGTCCCTGTGGATGAAATCAAGTTCCAAGCTCCAGTTTCCACTTTATCTCATGAAGGCATCAAGCTAAGGGTCTGTGCTTATGACAACCTTAAAACAAAAGGAACAAGGAAAGATGAAAATATTTAAAACCTAACTATTTTTGGCTGATGCTGAGTCAAAAATTTACACTAGATATTTTAATACAGCAAAGATTCCACCCTCCTAGACACTTTGCAAATGATACTTAGGTAACTAGTCATGAGGGGCAGCGAAAATCTCAAAGAAAGTGAAATAAAAATAATTATAATTAAAGGCTGGGTATGGTGGCTCACGCCTTTATTCCCAGCTCTTTGGGAGGCTGAGGCAGGCAGATTACTTCAGGTCAGGAGTTCAAGACAAGCCTGGCCAATATGGTAAAACCCTGTCTCTACTAAAAATATAAAAAATAGCCAGGTGTGGTGGCAGTTGCTTGTAGTCCCAGCTACTCAGGAGGCTGAGGTACTAAAATCACTTGAACCTGGGAAGCAGAGGTTACAGTGAGACGGAATCATGCCCCGACACTCCAGGCTGGGTGACAGAGCAAGACCCTGTCTCAAAATAATAATAATTATTATTATTATTGAAGGAAAACATGGTAGATATTGATACATAAGAAGGAAAACCTATAATTATCATCTAACTAAAGAAATAACATTGAGACAATATATAGCAATATACAGAGGTAAAGCATTTCTATTATCATAGTAGAAAGAAATTAAAATACTTTTGGTTTGGTTAACATAAAGAGAGGAAAATAATCCAGATGTCTTTTTTACCAGTTTATTATTATTAAAATACAAACACTTGGGGTTTATGTCAACTGATAAAGAAGATAATCGGTTTCTCGGCAGAGTAAATGAGACTGGTTCCCCTTCTGACCGAGGTTTGGAGCCCCGGGAAGGCAGAGTCACCCATTTCGGACACAAGAAGGATGCCAGACAGGAGAATCCTGGGCAGAAAAGCACCATCAGTCTTAACGCCGCCGTTCTGGCCCTGGGAACTAACAACTTGGACGTCCAATCAAGAGACCTAATCTGAAAGTTGGTAATTTCAAAGACGACAGGAGGATAAATTTACAATGATGGGAAGAAACCAGCGTAAAAAGGCTGAGAATACTCAAAATCAGAACGCCTCTCCCTCTAAAGATGATCACAGTTCCACATCAATAATGGAACAAGGCTTGATGGAGAACGAGCGCATCCCAATGACAGAATCACTCTTCAAGGAATGGATAATAACAAACTTCGGTAAGTTAAAAGAACATGTTGTAGCCCAGCATAAAGAAACTAGGAACTTTGAAAAAAGGTTTGACAAATTCCTATTGAGAATAGACAACTTAGAGAGGAATATAAGTGAATTAATGGAACTGAAGAATACAATACAGAAACTCCGAGCAGTATGCACAGGTTTAAACACTCGAATTGTTCAAGCAGAAGAAAGGATAACAGAGGTCAAAGTCCAACTTAATGAAAGAAAACAAGAAGACAAGATTAGAGATAAAAGGATAAAGAGGAATGAGCAAAGTCTCCAAGAAATGTGGGACTATGTGAAAAGACCAAATTTACGTTTGATAGGTGTACCTGAATGCGACAGAGAGAATGAATCCAAGCGGGAAAATACCCTTCAGGATATTATTCAGGAAAATTTTCCTGAACTAGCAAAGCAGGTCAATATTCAACCCCAGGTAATACAGAGAACACCACAAAGATATTCCTCAAGAAGAGCAACCCCAAGGCACATAATCGTTAGATTCACCAGGGTTGAAACGAAGGAGAAAATACTAAGGGCAGCCAGAGAGAAAGGTCAGGTTACCCACAAAGGCAAGCCTATCAGACTTACAGCAGATCTCTCAGCAGAAACTCTACAAGCCAGAAGAGAGTGGGGCCAATATTCAACATCCTCAAAGAACAGAACCTTCAGCCCAGAATTACATATCCAGCCAAACTAAGCTTCACGACTGAAGGAAAAATAAAATATTTTATGAACAAGCAAGAACTCAGAGATTTTATTACCACCAGGCCTGCTTAACAAGAGCTTCTGAAAGAGGCATTACACACAGAAAGAAACAACCAGTATTAGCCTTACTAAAAATATACCAAAAAGTAAAGAGCACCAACATAAAGAAGAATTTTCATCAACGAATGGATCAAACAGCCAGTTAACATCAAATGGCAGTAACCCTAAATTTAAATCGACTAAATCCCCCAATCAAAAGACACAGCCAAAACCCAACGGCATGGTACATCCAGACCTGTTTCACATGCAAGGAAACACAAAGACTCAAAACAAAGGGATGGAGAAAGATTTACCAACCAAATGGAGAGCATAAATAAATAAATAAATAAAAAGCAGGAGTTGCAATTCTCGTAGCGGATAAAATAGATTTTAAAGCAACAAAGATATAGTGGTAAAAGGATCAATACAACAACAAGAGCTAATGATCCTAACACCCAGATACACAGAGACTTAGATTCAATGAGACAGAAAATTAATAAGGATATCAAGGTCTCGAACTCAGACCCGGAACAAGTAAACTTAGTAAATATTTATAGAGCTCTCCACTTCAAATACCTAAAATATACATTCTTGTCAATACCACATCACACCTACTCATAGGTTTAAATGAAACATTGATTGGCCATTATTAATACCCATTTTTTTTTTTTCAGAATAAAGCAATATTTCCATTCACCATCCCTCTCACTCTTCCTCTTTCTTTCGCTCCTTTACTCATTTTTTTTTCTTTCCTTCTCTCAAAAAAAGAAATCAACTTGTAAACCTCTAGATCCAGGTCGGCAATGTCTCTCTCATTGCTTGAATTCTTTTCTTCCCTTCCCTCCCTCCCTCCCTCCCTCCCCGCCTTCCTCCCTTCCTTCCTTCATCCCTTCCTTCCTCCCTCTCTTCCTCCTACCCTCCCTTCCTACCTTCCTCCCTTCCTCCTTCCCTCTCTAAAAAAAAAAAAAAGAAAAAGATATTCAGTTTCTCTCTATACATATCTAAAGATATGTATAATATATATATTACATATATTCATTATATATTATAATATATTACTAGCACTTATATATTATGTATATATTCATTCATTCTAAAATTGGCGAAATGCTCTATTTCTCTATCACCAAGCTGGAAAAACAAAACACCAGATTTCAAATCAATCCTCTTAAACTTCTTCCACTTTTTAAAATAGAAACCCTTGTTTATTAAAAAAAATAAAAAAACCCTAAAGCTTAAAATGATACTAAAAACATAACCATCATAAGAACCAAGAAAAAATACTCAAAATTTTATTAGACTTGGTGAAGGAAAAAAATGGAGGATTGACCATGTAGTCATCTCTCTCCGCTCTCTCTCTCTTAAAACCATGATAAAATTGTAAGGAACTCTAAACAAATGTGTAAGTTCATGAAGATGAAGATAACTAAAAAGAAATACATACCTGTAGATAGATATGTCAAGTGTTAATGAATGTTCAAAACACAAAGTGGGCCAGATGTGGTGGTTCATGCCTGTAATCACAGTGCTTTGGGAGGCCGAGGATCTCAAGTCCCAGAGTTTGAGACCAGCCTGGGCAACATAACAAGACCCCATCTCTACAAAAAACTTGGATGAATCTTCGGAAATTATGCTAAGTGCAAAAAGCCTATCCCAAAAAATTATGAAACATGTGATTTCACTTATATAACATTTATTTGGTTGTTGTTTTTTATTATTTATTTCCTTATTTTATTTATTTATTTCCTTACTTGTTTTAGAGACAGAGTCTCACTCTGTCACCTGGGCTAAAGTGCAGTGGCATGATCATAGCTCACTAAAACCTTGTACTCCTGGGCTCAAGTGATCCTCCAGCCTCAGGCTCCCAAGTAGTTGAGACTACAGGTACACACTGCCATGCCGAGATTTTTTTTTTTTTAAGTAGAGACAAGGTCTCACTGTGTTACCCAGGCTGGTCTTGAACTCCTGGCCTCAAGAGATGCTCTTACCTTGGCCTCCCAAAATGCTGAGATTACAGGTATAAGCTACCATACTTGGCCAACATTTTTGAAATGAGAAAATTCTAGAAAGGAATAAAAGATTAATGGTTGGGTTGCCAGCAGTTCAGAATGGGGAAGCTGGAGGAAGGTGGGTATAGTTATAAAAAGGAAACATAAGAGCTTCTCAGGCTCTTTATGGTACTGGAAATGTTCAAACTCTTGAAAGAGTGAAGGGAACACAAACATATACAGATGATTAAATTGTATAGAACTGAATACACACAAATAAACAAAAGTAAAACTGGGAAAACTCACTGAATAAGATTAGTGGATTGTATCCACGTTGAATTCCTGGCTGTGATGTTATACTATAGTCTTCCAAAATGCTATCACTGAAGAAAACTGAGAAAACTGTACAAGAGATCTCTTTGAATTATTTGTTACACCTTCATGTAAAATTGCAGTTAATTTAATAAAATGTTCAAGTAAAAAATTTAAAAATGTTTTAAAAGCCCAAAAGAAGGCAAGAAACAGAGGAAATAAAAAGAGGGAATTGGGGCAGGACCCGTTAGAGTGGCGAGCGGCACAGGCACCAAGATGTCCAACCGAGTGGTCTGCCGGGAAGCCAGTCACGCCGGGAGCTGGTACACAGCCTCAGGACCACAGCTGAATGCACAGCTAGAAGGTTGGCTTTCACAAGTACAGTCTACAAAAAGACCTGCTAGAGCCATTATTGCACCCCATGCAGGATATACGTACTGTGGGTCTTGTGCTGCCCATGCTTATAAACAAGTGGATCCGTCTATTACCCGGAGAATTTTCATCCTTGGGCCTTCTCATCATGTGCCCCTCTCTCGATGTGCACTTTCCAGTGTGGATATATATAGGACACCCTTGTATGACCTTCGTATTGACCAAAAGATTTATGGAGAACTATGGAAGACAGGAATGTTTGAACGCATGTCTCTGCAGACAGATGAAGATGAACACAGTATTGAAATGCATTTGCCTTATACAGCTAAAGCCATGGAAAGCCATAAGGATGAGTTTACCATTATTCCTGTACTGGTTGGAGCTCTGAGTGAGTCAAAAGAACAGGAATTCGGAAAACTCTTCAGTAAATATCTAGCGGATCCTAGTAATCTATTTGTGGTTTCTTCTGATTTCTGCCATTGGGGTCAAAGGTTCCGTTACAGTTACTATGATGAATCCCAGGGGGAGATTTATAGATCCATTGAACATCTAGATAAAATGGGTATGAGTATCATAGAACAATTAGACCCTGTGTCTTTTAGCAATTACTTGAAGAAATACCATAATACTATATGTGGAAGACATCCCATTGGGGTGTTATTAAATGCTATCACAGAGCTCCAGAAGAATGGAATGAATATGAGCTTTTCCTTTTTGAATTATGCCCAGTCAAGCCAGTGTAGAAACTGGCAAGACAGTTCAGTGAGTTATGCCGCTGGAGCACTCACGGTCCACTGAAGCTCTGAATCCTCAGGGATGCCACCTGCACATTCTCATACTCTGTCCGGGGTCCCAGCCTAGCCTTTACCGAGATACTGGTCCTGGTTTGGGGGGATTCTGAAACCTCAAACTAATAGAACTTTCTTCTCTTTTTTTTCTAGTAGGTGTAGTCCTTCCTTAATTTCAACTCATTTAAAAATGCTTTATAGTTTAGGGCAGTGTAAGGAAGGCTGGCATCAAAGTATTTTGATCAAAAAAGATGACAATGTAAAGGCCCAGTTGTGGCAGACAGTGTTTTGAAAGTAACTTGTAAAGCATTTACCATATCCTAAATTTGCACTCTTTGCAGACTTGTGCACATATATTCCGCTTTCAGAATAGTTTTGCAAATTGTACACAAACAAACAGAAAAGGTGGAAGCTTTTTAATAAAGAAATTGCATTTATAAATGATCTGTATTAGAATATAATAAATCTCCAGTTATAGTCAATTACTACCCATGTTGTACAACAGATACCTTCTATTTTAGTTGCTAATAAAGGGCTACACAACTCAAAAAAAAAAAAAAGAGGGAATTAACAGAAAAAAATTAAATGGTGGGCCAATTAACATATATTTATAATTGGTTAAATGTAAACAGTTTAGATACACCAGTTAAAAGACAGATACTGCAGAATAGATAAGAATGGTTGAACTATACGCTGCTTACAAGAAACTTACTTTAAGTATAACAGTAAATGGAAATTAAAAGGATGGAAAACAATATACCATGATAATACTAATCAAAAGAAAGCTCAAGTAGCTATATCAAAATTAGACACAGTGGATATTAGACCAAAAAGCTGGTCCAAAAACAGAAAGGTATTACTTTTTTTTTTTTTTTTTTGAGACAGTTTCACTGTGTCACCTAGGCTGGAGTGGAATGATGCAATCTTGACTTACTGCAACACCTGCCCAGAGAGACATTACTTAATGATTAAAGGATCAATTTATCGAGAAAATATAGCGATTCCAAATATGTATGCAACTAACAATAGAGCTTCAAAATACATGAAGCGAAAAATGAGCTCTTGGAAATTTAAAATATAATATTAAAATAAATATTCAATCTATTCAAAAATCTGGAAGTTTAAATCAAAGAAGTTTGATATACTTACATAAAATGAAGGAAAGGCAGAAAGAAAATAGGAGATAAATTTTAAAAGAATTAGATCAACTAGGGTTGAAAACTATTTTAAAAAACGAATGCAAGAACAAATTCAAAAACTAAAGATAATGAGTCGCCTAGTCAAAATGTCTCCCTGAGAGATCAGCACAATTAATGAAACAATATTTATTCCAAGGTTCATCTCTATAAAATTGTGGGGGGGGAAACCTCCAAGGATTAAAAGAAAATTCTAAGAAAAACAGTTCACATACACAGAAAAGCAAAGCTGAATGGCACTGGACTTCTTAATAGCACCATTGGCTTCCATTATTGCTGTTGAGAAGTCAGTTCTCAGTCTAAATTCTGTTGTTTTTATGCAATCTGTCTTTACTCCCTGGATATTTTTAAGGTTTTAAAGATCTCTTCATATTGAATTATCTGTTATTTCATCATGAAGGATCTCAAGTAGAGTTTTATATTGTTTTGTTCTGTGTTTTATCCTACTTGGGATTCATTATCCTACTTGGGATTCAATAAGACCTGAATGTGAGGTCTTATTTTTTTCATCAGTTCTAGAAAACTCTAGAATATAGTTTTGCCATTTTTCTTTTGGATACTGCTTATTTTTTCATTCTATTTATTCTCCTTTTCTAGAATTCCAATGAAATGTATATTAGATATTCTTACTCTATTCTTCACGTCTTTTAGCCTGTCTGTCCTTCATATTTCCTATCTCCTTGTTTCTCTGTACTGGATTCTGGATAACTGAGCTCTGCCTTCCTGTTTGCTAATTCTCTCTTCAGCTATGTCTAATCTACTTTTTAACCCTGGGGTTTTTATTTCAATTTTTTTTTCACTTTTAGATGTTCTATTTTAATGTTTTTCAAAATTGCCTGATCTTTTGTCCAAGTTTACAATTTTGTTTCCTTCTTTTATTTCTTTAGATTCTTTAGATTCTAATATCTGTAATAAGACAAAGATGCCAACTCAATTTAATACACTTCTGGAAGTCCTGTCATAGCAATTAGGAAAGAAAAAGACATAAAAGGTATTCAAATCAGAAAGAAAGAAGAAAAATTGACTCTGTTTGAAGAGGTTGCATATAGAAAACTCTAAAGACTCCACCAAAACACATTTACAATTAATAAATGAATTCAGTGAGTCTGTGGGATACAAAATCAACACAGAAAAATCAGTAGCATTTATATACATTAACAACAAACCATCCAAAAAAGTAATCAAGAAACAATACCATTTATAATAGCAATAAAAACATAAGATTCTTAAGAATAAGTTTAACCAGGGAGGTGAAAGATCTGTACACTGAAAATTATAAAATGTCAATTAAAGCAATTGAAGAAGAAACAAAGAAATAAAAAGATATACTATGTTCAATGATTGGAACAATTAATATTGTTACAACATCCATTATACCCAAAGCTGTCTACAGATTAAGTGTAATTCCTATCAAAATTCCATTGGCAATTTTCAAAGAAGGAGAAAAAATATTAAAATTCACATCGAACTGCAAAAGACCCCAAACAGACAAAGCAATCTTGAGGCGAAAAGAACAGAGCTAGAGTAACTATGCTACTTGACTTCAAAATATACTACGAAGCTACAGTAATCAAAACAGCATGGTACTAGCATAAAAACAGACACATGGACACACAGGAACAGAATAGAGAGCCAAGAAATAAACCTATGCATTTACGGTCAATTGATTTTTGATAAAGATGCCAAGAACACATAACAGAGAAAAGACAGTCTCTTCAACAAATGGTGTTAGAAAAACTGAATAGGCAGAAGAATAATATCAAACCCTCATCTCACACAATATACAAAATCAACTGAAATTTTGACTAAACATTTAAATATAGACCTGAAACTGTAAAACTACTAGAAGAAACAGGGATAAATCTCCTTGACATTGGTCTGGGCAATGATTTCTTGGATACGATCCCCAAAACAAAGGCAACAAAAGCAAAACATAGGCAAATGAGATGACCTCAAACTAAACACTTCTGCACATAAAAGGAAACAATCAAAGAGTGAAGAGACAACCTACAAATAGGGAGAAAATGTTTGCAAACCACACATCTGATAAGGAGCTGATATCCAAGCTATATAAGGAACTCAAAAAGACAAACAACCTGATTTAAAAATGGGCAAAGGACCTGAATAGATATTTCTCAAAAGAAGACATACAATGGCCAACAAGTGTATGAAAAAATGCTCAATGTAACTAATCATCAGTGAAGTGCAAATTAGAGCACAATGAGATATCACCTTAACACCTGCTGAAATGATATCAAAAGACAAAAGATGCCAGGTGCAGTGGCTCACTTCTATAATCCCAGCATTTTGGGAGGCCAAGTTGGACAGATCATCTGAAGTCAGGAGTTCAAGACCAGCCTGACCAACATGGAGAAACACCACCTCTACTAAAAATACCAAAAAAAAAAAAAAATTAACAGGGTGTGGTGGCGCATGCCTGTAATCCCAGCTACTCCGGAGGCTTGAGGCAGGAGAATCGCTTGAACCTAAGAGGTGGGGGTTGCAGTGAGCCGAGATCGCGCCACTGTACTCCAGCCTGGGCAACAAGAGTGAAACTCCATCTCAAAAAAAAAAAAAAAGACAAAAGACAATGAGTGTTGATGAGGACATGCAAGAGACAACTCTTGCACACTGTTGGTAGGAATGTAAATTAGTACAGACATGATGGAAAACAGGATGGACAATCCTCAAAAAATTAATAAAATTAATTGTCGTATGATCCAGCAATCCTTTGGGTATATATCCAAAGGAAATGAAATCCGTGTGTCGAAGAGATATCATGCACTGCCATGTTTATTGCAGCATTATTCACAAAAGCCAAGGTATGGAATCAACCTAAGTATCCCTCAAAAGATAAATGGATAAAGAAAATGTGGGGGGGGGTGTGTGTGTACATACAGTGGAATACTATTCAGTCTTTAAAAGAAAGAAATGCCATTTGCAGCGTCACAGATAACCTAGAGGACATTACACTAAGTGAAATAAGCCAGACACAGAAAGACAAACACTACATGATCCCACTTATACATGGAATCTAAAAATGTGGAACTCATAAAAGCAGAGGATAGAATGTGGGGTGGGAAGGGGAATTGAGGGCATGTTGGTTAGAGAGTACAAAGTTTCAGCTAGAGAGAATGAATAAGTCCTGGAGAGTTAATGTAAGAATGTTGACTATAGTTAACAGTAATGGATTGTATACTTGAAAATCACTAAGAGCATAAATCTTAAATGTTTTCACCACACCAAAAAAAAAATCGCACGATAACTAAGTGAGGAATGAATATGTTAATTAGCTAATTGTGTTAATCATTTTGCAATGTGTATATATATATTTATTTATTTATATATAGCAAAATGTCATGTTGTATACTGCAAATATATACAATGTTTATTTCTCAATTATACCTCAACAAAGCTGGAAGAAACAAAATGAAGTTGTTTCTCTTAAAAAAAAAAATAACATCTCCTCTTGTCAGGCACAGTGGTTCACACCTGTAATCCCAGCACTTTGGGAGTCCAAGGAGGGAGGATCACTTGAGCCCAGGAGTTCAAGACCAGCCTGGGAAACATGGCAAAACCCTGGCACTACAAAAAATACAAAAATTAGCCAGGTGTGGTGTTGCACTCTTGTAGTCCCAGCTACTCAGGAGGTTGAGGTGGGAGGATTGCCTGAGCCCAGGAGGCAGAGGTTGCAATGAGCCAAGATTGTGCCACTGAACTCCAGCCTCGGCAATAGAGAAAGACCCTGTCTTTAAAAAAAAAAAAAAACTCCTGTTAAAATGATAGTTTGTACCTATGTATCTACCTTCACTTTATTCCTAAATCTCATTAAAATTATAGTAAAGTTATTTTCTCAAAAAAATAAAGAAATATCAGCCATAAACCCCCTTCAAGAGGAGAAAAAAAATAAAAACAAATGTTTAGAAATTGAAAAGGAGGTGAAAAATGACTTTGCAGATGCAAGAATCCAAATCTTGAACTGAGAACTGACCTCACCTACTCCACACTGCCCTCCAAATCCTTCGGTCTGTGTAATCCCATGAAAGTCTTCCTCCTTTTCAGCATTAGCAAGATTCTAGCCCACGCTTAATTCATTTTAAAATCCTGCCTCCACAACTCCAGTGATAATAACAAACCATTACCTACAGAACATTGGCAAAGTGCCCCCATGTAATGGCAAGGCTTTTTTTTTTGTAAGACAGCATCTCATTATATTGCGCAGGCTAGAGTGCAACGGCACAATCTCAGCTGACTGTAACCTCTACCTCCCGGGCTCAAGCAATCCTCCCACCTCAGCCTCCTGAGTAGCTAGGACTACAGGTATGTGCCAGCATGCCCAGCTAATTTTTTTTTTAATAGAGATG